TCCTAAAATTGGTATGGAACCAGAAAAGAACCCGAATAGCCAGACGAATGTTGAAAAAGAAAAGCAAAGCTCGTGGCATCACAATCCCGCACTTCAAACTCTATTACAAAGCTGTCATCAAGACATATGGTACTGGCACAAAAACAGACACATAGATCAATGGAACAGAATAGAGAGCTCAGAAATGGACCCCCAACTCTATGGTCAACTAATCTTCAACAAAGGAGGAAAGAATGTCCAATGGAAAAAAGACAGTCTCTTCAACAAATGGTGTTGGGAAAATGGGACAGCCACATGCAGAAGAATGAAACTGGACCATTTCCTTACACAACACACCAAAATAGACTCAAAATAGTTGAAAGACCTAAATGTGAGACAGGAGTCCATCAAAATCCTAAATGTGAGACAGAAGTCCATCAAAATCCTACAGGAAGCAACCTCTTCAACCTCAGCCACAGCAACTTCTTCCTAGAAACATGGCCAAAGGCAAGGGAAGCAAGGATACAAAAATGAACTATTGGGACTTCATCCAGATAAGAAGCTTTTGCATAGCAAAAGAAACAGTCAACAAAACCAAAAGACAGCTGACAGAATGGGAGAAGATATTTGCAAATGACATATCAGATAAAGGGCTAGTATCCAAAATCTATGAAGGACTTCTCAGACTCAACACCCAAAGAACAAGTAATCCAATCAAGAAATGGACAGAAGACATGAACAGACATTTTTCCAAAGAAGACATCCAAATGGCCAAGAGACCCATGAAAAAGTGCTCAACATCTCTCGGCATCAGGGAAATCCAAATCAAAACCTCAATGAGATACCACCTCACACCAGTCAGAATGGCTAAAATTAACAAGCCAGGAAACGACAGATGTTGGCGGGGATGCGGAGAAAGGGGAACCCTCCTACACTGTTGGTGGGAATGCAAGCTGGTGCAGCCGCTCTGGAAAACAGTATGGAGCTTCCTCTGAAAGTTGAAAATAGAGCTACCCTACAACCCAGCAATTGCACTACTGGGTATTTACCCCAAAGATACAAATGTAGTGATCCGAAGGGGCACCTGCACCCCGATGTTTATAGCAGCAATGTCCACAATAGCCAAACTACGGAAAGAGCCAAGATGTCCATTGACAGATGAATGGATAAAGAAGAGGTGGTATACATATATAATGGAATATTATGCAGCCATCAAAAGGAATGAAATCTTGCCATTTGCAATGACATGGATGGAACTGGAGGGTATTATGTTGAGCAAAATAAGTCAATCAGAGAAAGACATGTATCATATGACCTCACTGATATGAGGAATTCTTAATCTCAGGAAACAAACTGAGGGTTGGTGGAATGGTGGGGGGTGGGAGGGATGGGGTGGCTGGGTGATAGATATTGGGGAGGGTATGTGCTTTGGTGAGTGCTGTGAATTGTGTAAGACTGTTGAATCACAGACCTGTACCTCTGAAACAAATAATACATTATATGTTAAAAAAGAAGAAGAAGAAGATAGCAGGAAGGGAAGAATGAAAGGGGGGAAATCGGAGGGGGAGACGAACCATGAGAGACTATGGACTTTGAGAAACAAACTGAGGGTTCTAGAGGGGAGGGGGGTGGGGGGATAGGGGGCCTGGTGATGGGTATTAAAGAGGGCACATACTGCTTGGAATACAGGGTGTTATGCACAAACAATGAATCATGGAACACTACATCAAAAACTAATGATGTAATGTATGGTGATTAAGATAACATAATAATAAAATAAAATAAATAAAGCCTTAAATATAAGTCTGGACACCATAAAACTCTTAGAAGAAAACTTAAGCATTAAGCTCCTTGACATTGGTCTTGGCAGTATTTTTTTGGATCTGACTCAAAAGGCAATGGCAACAAAAGCAAAAAAAAGCAAATGGGACTACATGAAATGAAAAAGCTTCTGCATAGAAAAGGAAAACATCAACCAAATAAAAAGGCATCCTACTGAATGGAAGATGATATTTGCAAACCATATATTCATTAAGGGTTTTTATCTAAACTATATAAAGAATTCATATAGGTCAGTAACAAAACAAAACAAAAAAATCTGATTTAAAAATAGGCAGAGGAAATGAATAGACATTTTCCCAGAGAGTACATCCATATGGCCAAAAGACATATGGAAAGATGCTCAAAACCACCAATCATCAGGGAAATGTAAATCAAAACCATAATGAGATATCACCTAACACCTGTCAGAATGACTATTATCAAAAGGACAAGAAATAACAAGTGTTGGCAGCAACGTGGAGAAAAGGGAACATTTGTGCACTGTTAGTAGGAGTATAAATTGGTGTAGCCACTATGGAAAACAGTATGGAAGTTCCTCAACAAATTAAAAATAGGACTACCATATGATACAACAATTCCACTTCTGGGTATTTATCCAAAGAAAACAAACATTAACTCAAAAAGACATATGCCGCCCCCCGCCCCAGGGTTCACTGCAGCATTAGCTACAATAGCCAAGATATAGAAACTCTAGGTGTCTATCTATAGATGAATAAATAAAGAAGATACGACATATACATATTCCATTGCACACACACACACATACAGGCACATACTGGAATACTAAAAAGCCATAAAAAAGAATAAAATCTTTCCATTTGCAACGACATGGATGGACCTTGAGGGCATTATGTTACATGAAATAAATCAGAGAGAAACAAATACCACTTGATCTCACTTATATGTGAAATCTAAAAAGCAAAACAAACGAACAAACAAAACAAAACTCATAGATACAGAGAATAGATTTGTGGTTTCCAGACGTAAAGGAGAGAGGGGGTGTTGGGGAGAGATGGGTGAGGGGATCAAGAGGTACAAACTTCAGTGGCACCTGGCTAGCTCAGTTAAGTATCAGGTCACAATCTCTGGGTCCTGGGCGTCAGGCTCCCCACTCAGCAGGGAGTCTGTTTGTCCCTCTGCCCCTTCCCCCACTTTTTGTGTGTGTCTCTCTCTCTCTCAAAAAAAATAAATAAAATCTTAGAAAAAAAAAGAGGTACAAACTTCCAGTGATAAAATTAAAAAGTCATGGAGATGTAATGTGCAGCGTGGTGACCATAGTCAATATTGGTAAGTAGGTTTACTGTGGTGATCATTTCCCAATTGTGGAATCATTATGTTATATACCTGAAACTAACAAAATGTACGTCAATTATACTTCAATAAAAAATAAATAAATAAAGGCCACCTTTGTCAGCCAACTTCCCTGTATAATAACTATAGCAATAAACATATAAGCTTCTCCTATTCCTATATCACGTTATATAAAGCAGAGAAAAATTTGCATTTCAGGTGGACGGCATCTTAACTAATCTGTTTGCCAGTGTTTCCTTTGCAAACTTTTTTACCTGCTATAAGTATCATGACTTGTATGCCATGATATTATTCAGACATACCAGTCCTGCTTATGTTATTATCATCCAGTCTGAATTCTCCAGAATGGGTAAATAGAGAATATCAAGAAATTGTTTACAGGCTGCCGCAGGCTATTATCAGAGCGTATTAAACAGAGTGAAGTGCACAGAGGAGAACGGATTCCATTTGGCACAGGTCTTTGGGGGTCTTTGCATTTGCCCTCTGAGACTACTCTGCTAATTCCCGTCTGTTTGTCAACTGGTTTTTTTTCTCCCTTTCCCTCCCTGCCTCCCCCCCGCCCCCACTCCTATCAGTTTTCAGGCAGTAAGGGTCAGGAAGCAGTCCCCACCATTGCCACCATCCATTTCCTCTTGTTTTGCTGGCTGGAAATGAACAGCTGCAGCTAGTCAGCAGGCTCGGTGGGGGGACGCAGAAAATGATCATCATTTAACCAGCAGGTACCCCTGAGTACCAGTTAGCGTTCTGTGCCTCCTCGCCTGCCTCCTCTTCGGGAGGAGTGTTCCCAGCCAATTTTCCCTGGTTTTGTTTTTGGTTTTTTTTTTTTTTTCTTTTGGATAGAATCAATTTTTGAAAACTTTACAGTATTTTGTTTAGTATATTTTCTATATAATCTTTAAATTACATACCTAAAATTGAGGCATACATTTCTTTTTTTATTTTTTTAAAGATTTTATTTATTTGTCAGAGAGAGAGAGAGCACACAAGCAGGGGGAGCTGCAGGCAGAGAGAGAGGGAGAAGCAGGCTCCCCGCTGAGCAAGGAGCCTGATGCGGGGCTCGATCCCAGGGCCCTTGGATCATGACCTGAGCCGAAGGCAGACGCTTAACCGACTGAGCCACCCAGGCACCACATGAGACATACATTTCTTCAAAAGTTTGAGGCCAACATTTAGCCACCCCAATAAAATATTCTGTTTCTTTCACTGCTCAACACTAGCAGTGCTGGCTAGGTTAATAAAGAAAATAAAATCCAGAATATGAGATGGTTCATTTAGAGATGTTTCTGGTGAGAGAAAATATGGGCATTAAAAAAGAAAATACGTACGCATCAATACTGCCAATAAATGAAATATTATTGGCAAATTTAAGGTAAAATGTTGTGAATACAGATTATATAGAGAAAAATATTTTTAAAACTGTCAAGTGATTCCATATTAAAAGAAAAATAAGTCAAATTATCTCTTTGATAAAAAATTCTTTAAATTTCAGAGTGCCTGGATGGGTCAGTCAGTTCAGTGTTCGACTCTTGATTTCAGCTCACATCATGATCTCAGGGTCCTAGGATCAAACCCCGCTTTGGGCTCCGTGCTTAGCCCAGAATCTGTTTGGGATTCTCCCTCTCCCTCTGCCCCTCCCCCTGCTCGTGCTCTCTCTCTCTCTCTCTAAAATAAATAAATAAAATCTTTTAAAAATTTCTTTAAATTTCTAAACAATTTTTACTTTTATGCATGATTAATATTTATTACATGTATTAAATGATCTCATTAATTTTAAATTTTTAATTAAAATTAACATTATGATTAAATTTTCCAGAGATGGGTGAAGAGTGAGGGAGAGGCAAGCACATTACTGCTGTCAGGTTTCTCACCATATCCCAGTTGGGAGATGATAAAATCAAATTCCTCGATGCTGTGGATACTGGCTAGATCACCACCTTCCTTCCGACACGCAGTCAAGGCATCTCTTTGGATTTTCTTCTCCTCTCTGTGAATCTTGTAGCAGTGACCTGCATATGGCCACCACTGACTTGGACAGTTAGTAGGCACATCGCTTTCTAGAGAAAAAAGAGTTTGGAAAACATTTAAAAGGGAAGACTTTTTAAAATTAAAACAAAATTTTCTATCATTCAGTATACAAAACGATAGTTATAAGCATTTAAAGGTAGTATTTATTTTTCCTTTCTGGCATATATATTCACAAAACATAAACGAGGTGGGGACACAAGGGCCACCAAGGAGCTACAGAAACCGGAATAGCATGAGCTGGCCACCTCTGGCTTGCTTCTGCAAGATGGCATATGATACTGTGGTGACTGCAGGGATTTAGAGCCAGAAGTCTTCTGAATTTGCCACAAGTTCCGTGGTCTTGGGCAAGTCACATCACAGGAACCAAAGTACCCATACATGTAAAAACATTTCAATAATATTGATAAATAATACTAATAGGAAGCTACCCATCCTCACTGTGTCCTTCTGAACTAGAAAACATTTGCAATAATGTTACTCTAAATTACAAACACCACACAATTATTATTTAAGTCAGTGAGTAATAGCGGCCAACATCCTAACTATGGCTACTAAGAGTTATGGTCCAATTTCATAAATCTTGATTTCATATTGCAAAAATGAACTGTAATAGTAATGAGCTGGGGAAAGGGAAGGGAAAGATGTTTGAAGGCAGAAACTCCCGTTATTCACCCTTGTTTTGCTAGAACTGGCATGGGGCCCGGCACGTGGCAGGTGTAATGAATGTCGGTCGAGAAAATACATTTGATATGCAGCAGCTTATCATTACCATTTACAGATACTCTTTCAAACTGCAATTTAGCAATGTACCTTGCTTAAAGAGGGACCATATTACCAAATGAATGTTAATTTATACATTTGTTTGGTAGTGAATGTTCTCAAATGTGCTGCTTAGCAAATGCTCAATACAGTAAATGTTTGTTATTCATTTAATGAATCCCTTAAAGCCATTTTTCCTTACAGACCAGGACTGCCTGCCACATCTTTGAGTCTAAGATTCTGTTTACAGTAGTCATGTAAGTAAACAGTCACCCATGATGACCAAACGCTGCATTATTGTCACAGAAAAAATACGCATGCTTAAAAAATTCTAGCCCTTCAATACAATTTAGATATTTTATTACTGCCGTGTTAGGGGGAAAAAAAAAAAAAAGTTAGTATAGCTCTGGAGCCCTCTGGTGGGATATTTTGATTTTGCTACCCAGGACACTGAAAATAATGTCAGCAAATGCTGAGACCCTCAAAAACTGGACAGGTAACTTTTAAAAATATCTTAAAACATGAAGACAACCAAAGAAAAGGAGGTCCGTGGGGTAGCCAGGAAAGATTGCTTGCTCTAACATATTATCATTTCAACATGTAATCAATAAAAAAGAAATGACGAGATATTTTACTTGTTTGCTTGGGCAGTCTTGAAACTGCCGTATGTAATTTATACTCACAGCACATCTCAGGTCAAACTAGCCCCACTTCATGCTCTCAATAGCCACTTGTGGTTACGTGGCTACTGAAATGGACGGTGAGGTTCTAGAAACCTAGGAATTTTGATGAGTGAGGTAGCGTTGCAGGGACCACCAGGGTAAAAGGTAGAACTCTTGCGTGCTGCATAATTTTAACTCTCATTGGCTTTTCCAAGCTCCGGTTTATTTGAGTTTATAGATAAGACAGAATGATTCATCCAGGAAATACAGAGAAATTCAAAACCCCATGTCAAGTGAAGGTTAGGAAGTGAAACGAGGTGGGGCATAGTAGAGAAATTATGCTAATTTACTGAATGTATGAACAAATTTTCACAGGAAAAACAGGTATTATTATTTCCCTTTATAGATGAGGAATCCAAAACTGGGGGTTAAGTAACAGGGCCAAGTTCCAGAATTCTGCTTCCTGTACCAGGGAAGCTATTAAAACAAACAAACAAACAAACAAACAAACAAAACCATTCTCCTCTTCCCCTAAGTGGCAATTCCAAATCTTCTGAAGGAGAATTCTATGAGCTTTCCCAAGGAGAAAGAATTATACTATTTCTCTACGGGAGGAATAGAGGAGATGAAGTACAAAATGACTGAGGTCTCCTAGACACATGCTTACAGTCATAATGGTGCCTTTGTAAATATCATCGAACCCAAGAACCAGGACCCTCGTCTGTACACATTGGAGATCTTGACTGTATCTGTCTCTATTAAAACTGCAAACACATCTACTCTTTGGTCTGGCAACACCACTCCTAGGAATGATCACATGCATGAAATGACGTGTATAAAGTTATTCATGGTAGGATAATAATAAAAAATTGGAAGTAAATTGAATGTCCATTAATAGGTGACTGGTCAAAAAGTATAAATGGTCTCTCTCTATAATGGCTATCATGTGGCCATAAAAATAAACCAAGAGGCTATTTATGTACCGTATGGAAAGATGTCCAAATTTTTTATCTGAAAAAAGTGAAGAAGATACATGTTGTATGCTGCCATTTGTATAAAACAGACAGAAATGATCATAAACATATTTGTTTATATATTTATAGAATAACCAGATAAGGATAAACACCCAGAAATAGTTATTTATCAGGGAGGAGAACTGGGTTTAGAGGTTAAGAAGTAGAAGGAAAATATTATTATTTTCTATCATTTTGTACCTTTTGAATTTCCAACCATGTCAATCATATTTTAAAGTCAATTTTACTGACTTTAAAAGTCAGGGAGAAAAGTCAAGAATGCTACACTGTTAGATTTCTCAAGCAGAATACATACCTACATACATACATCCCTTTAGAGTATTAAAACAGCTGATAGAGAAAAAAGTGTAGGTTGTTTTTTGTCAATTTGAAAAAAGGGGTGCATTCTTATGTTAGTAACTTATTTCTTTTATAAAATTATGAGAGAGACCATAATTGAATTCTTTGCCCAGAGTCTAGCCTATATATAAAATTCAGTTCGTACTTTTTGGATGTTTTACCCCATTTCTGTGAAGACTTCCATTGAGGATGCTAAACTTATGGCACCAGAGCCCAGATGTATCCTTAAATGGCAAGAATATAATAAAAACATCCTTTGCAGGTATTTATTTCCTAGCTTGGATTCCAGTTTCATCACATGTGCAAGTTTTATATATCCTGTGAATATCCTCTTCCTCATCGAGAATGCATGAATAATAATGCCTTGCTCATAGGGCTGCTATGAGGATAGAATTCTTATTTATGTTCTTCCAAAGGCTTTGAACATGTCTGAACACTACGGCACACTCAGGAAATGTTAGTGACCATTACTAATAGCCAACAAAAAGAAATTCCGTAGGAATATCATTAAGTTTACTCCATAAATTATCAACAAAACCTGTCATTTCACACAGTTATGCTAGACTGCAATTTTCTTTCAATTATAATATCTTCTACACTTCAGATCAAATAGATCGCTTACCGGAGGGAATCACAAAAGAATTCAAAGTTGTGTTGCCCTTCTTACAAATATAGCCTAGTTTCTGAACACATTCCAGATTTTCCCATTTAGCATTTTTCCCAGGATTTAGTGACACACAGCTTTTTCCAGGTTCTGTTGATGGACTTCCTTTGGGGAAAAGGAAAAATCAAAGTGGGATTATTACAGGTATTACAAGCAGATAGTCCCCACAACCTCACGGCTTCATCCTTGGGATTTAATGAATCCCATTCTGTTTCTGGCTTCACATTCACCAATAAATCTTTACTGACTGCAGAGCAAAAGATGCGTTGGGCATCTATTTCTTTTCTTGTCTTTGGATCATTCCGATGTCTAAAATGTTGATTATACAAGTTTACTTCTTTGAAATAACTTTTTTCACAGTATCAACAATAAAGCTAGGCCTTATAATCTTGAAAAATCTTCACATTGGGTTTTGTTATGTATAACAAAATGCACAACACATGATGTTCCAAACCAGCCATATTAAGCACTGCAAATACCTACCAAAAAGCTAAGTAAGGCTAACCGTGTGGAGCAAACTAGAGAATTTCTGAACATGGGAAAACTTTCTCCAACTAAAGAGAGGAGACGGAAGAGGAAGACAGCAAAGAGGAGAAAGACAAGGAAGGGGAGCTTCAGAAGCAACATGACATGGGAAATGCTGATAAAGTCCACCCCAAAGTCAGACTTCCTCAAGATTTTCAACCCAGCCTACTGAAGATTTTTAAGTACTAACCCTTCATCCCATATCTTGCTGAAAATTGATAAAAGAACCAGATAAAGTCAACTTTGGGAATGCAATGGATACATGGAAAACTAGCTCCATCTCTCACCTGAAGACAGGGTGATAAGCCACATTTTGTTAACAACTCTGTTTTGTGATCTCTGACATGTATATAACCTGGCCCTGGACCTCACTTTGCCTTCCTGCTAGATGGGAATCATATCACCTGCTCCATAAAGCTTTTGTCAACATTTTTTTAAAGTTGTGGAAGAGTACACAACGAAAAACATTGTTAGTGATAAGGACTTTAATATATCAATTAGTTGTCTTTAAATAGCTACCAAAGTTATTTGAATTCACACTTCTACAGCATTTGTGTAAAACATCCTCACTTCAAATGTGAATGTATTTTAATAGATACATTACTTGGTAAGTACTCAGTTGAATGCTTAATCAAATGTTTCATGCAATAACAGCTTCTAATATTCCACAAGATTTCTGATTTTCATTTGAAGAAACTCTCATATTATTTCAGAAGTGATTTAACCTTGCACCTCTTACTTCTCAGCAATTTGGTTTAATAAGGGAGGGCATTTCTTTTCCTTTCTCATCAATATTCCAATTTCATTCCTCACATTCACTGAAGTTAACCCCCCAGTTTTCTCACTGAACTCTTGGAATGCAAGTGATTAAATATTACAATAATTACTCCAAAATTGCATAATAAATAAAGTGACTTGCCAAACGTGCAATAATTCAGCAGCAAAGAATAAACTTTAGTTCCTTTAAAAAATGATCATTATTATCTAATGATCTGATGGAGTCCAACTGGCATTCTCCAATTTAATCTGACTGAGTGAGTAAGCAGACAAATCAAATCCTCACTCATGAGAAGGACATCTTATATTCCCTTGTAGTAATGTTTAATTTCCATTTGGCAGAGGAAACCAGAGCTGATTCTAGTGACAGCCCTGTAACTATGCATTGAAGGAATGCAGTGGAAGTGGAATTTCATAGTAAAAGCACATCAATTTAAGCTAAAATATATCCTCTAAAGTTTCCCTCTTGTGTTTTAGCATCTATTCTGAATATTCTTGCTTGCTTTCTTCCTTCCTTTCTTTCTTTATCCTTTCTCTCTCTTTCTTATTTTCAAAGCTTTCATTTCTTTAAATACCATAAATTAGTAACATAGAAAAGAGTTTAATTTCCTAAGCCAAATGCAAAAACCATTCAGTGGCTTTTAAGAAGGAAGTCAGACCATATGAAGAAACACTACATCAGTATTTGCTCATAGCAGAACTGGTAAATGAAAATGTGACCCATCCTTTTCCACACCCATGCAGACATTAGTAATCAATAATTATTGTACTCTTTGTTAATAAACCAACATTAGTATGGGGTGGGTTGGAAATGGGGGTGGGGAGTTCTGAATCACACTCTATAGAGCGCCTCAAGCAGCTTCTAATCGTTGGCATTTGTGAATAAGGTAAAAGTTTTTTGTCATCATTGGTCTTTTTGTTTTCTCTGAATAACTGCTGTATATGTGAAACACATTTATTATTTAGCCTCCTTTATGTTCTGTTACCTGTATGCTATGACAATGTAGACATAATTAGTTCAGAGCATTTTCTGTCCTCCAAAAAATTAGAAAGATGTTGAAGGCTTAATCATCCCCAACTGTATTTTTTTTAAATTAAACCACAAATTGCCAACAAAAGTGCTAATGAATTATGATGCTAGCATGGAATATTATCATTTGTATTTGAAATACTATTTTAATCCAACTATATTAGATTAACAACAGGAGAAAATGATGTTAAGGTCATTATAACAATGATAGAAATATCGCAAATATCTCAGGGCTCAAGATAATGAGAAACTGTCCAGCCCCAAATAATTCATATTCACTTAAATTCATAGTTTGTGTATGTGTAAATATAAATAAATATATATAAAATCTTTGAATATACTATATAGCATTATACAGTATATATATCTTGTAAGTATACATATTATGTATAAGCACTTTCAACTGGAACATTGTAAAATTCAAAAAATTGATTTTGAATATAATAGCTAGCAAATCAAGGGTACTCAGAGAATATGTACTTTAACAGAGTCCTATATTGATTTGTGTGATAATCCTGCCGGACAAATCCCCAACCTGGGAAGCAGGTATAACCTTACGGTTTTAGTATATGCAAATCCAGATGGCAGATTTCAAAGCAACGTGAGAAATGGACTATATTTGGTAAAGTCTCCCAATTCTTTTCTTTGAGCTCCCCATGCGAGATGATGAAGATCTTTATGGTATCCAGACAAATTAAAACTAGATGTATTTAGCCACAGACAAGCTGGACCCTACCTGGTAACCAGTTCAAATATCTGAATGGACTGCCACCACTCCATTGCCATCCACTGTTGAAACTCAGGCTGTTAAGACCAATCCAGAGTCCTGAGGTCAAGGAACTGGTTAATCCTATGGAACAAAAGCAAAAACAAACAAAAAAAACGAAACTGACATTTGGAAAAGACAATAGAATCGCATTCAGAATTAAGTGGTTGGATCAAAATGTATAAGAGGGAAGTAATAAAAAAAACCATGCCTAACACTTCTTGGATTCTCTGGAGGTAAGTACAACTATACCTCCATTGGCAGATAAAGAAACAGCGGTGAGAGTCTAAGTAAGATTCTTAGTAAGATCTAGTAAGATTCTTGCTAAGCTTCTAGCCCAGATATGACCAGGCTTCAACCCCATCATCTTGGAATATTCCTACTGGATGGTATCAGTGTGTTTTAATTTGGATAAGACTCTATCATCAAATAATATTTTTACTTACTTTTAGAGTACAAAAATATTTTTTAAGATTTTATTTATTTGAGAGTGCACAAGTGAGCAGGGGGACGGGCAGAGAGAGAGGGACAAGCAGACTCCATGCTAAGCACAGAGCCTGATGCCTGGCTCCATCGCGTGACCCTGAGACCATGACCTGAGCGGAAATCAAGAGTCAGACGCTTAACCAACTGAACCACCCAGGCACCCCTAGAGTACAAATAAGATTTATTATGGGGGCGCCTGGGTGGCTCAGATGGTTAAGCATCTGCCTTCAGCTCAGGTCATGATCCCAGCGTCCTGGGATCGAGCCCCGCATCGGGCTCCCTGCTCAGCGGGGAGCCTGCTTCTCCCTCTCCCTCTGCCTCTCTCCCTGCTCATGCTCTCTCTCTCTCTCTCTGTATCTCTGTGTCTCAAATGAATAAATAATATCTTTAAAAAAAAAGATTTATTATAAAAAAAATTCAAAGTTTTCTATCACAAAAAAGTTTAATAAACATTTCAATCTATCATTCTCACAAATTCTTACCTAACCTTACATTCCAGAACTTAGTCTAACAATTGTATTTCATGACATTTTTTAAAAATCAATTTTTCTTTTCATTAATATTTTGCTTAAAGTCAAAGCAAAATTCTTTGGCTAACATGAACAACACTCTGTTTAGGCACTTCATAAATCATAATTAGTGTTTCAAACTCTCTGCAGTTAGGCGTGGGGGTTGGTGGAGGTTCATGTAGAATAAAAAAACATGAGAGACCATGGACTCTGAGAAACAAACTGAGGGTTCTAGAGGGGAGGGGGGTGGGGGGATGGGTTAGCCCGGTGATGGGTATTAAAGAGGGCACGTTCTGCATGGAGCACTGGGTGTTATACGCAAACAATGAATCATGGAACACTACATCAAAAACTAATGACGTAATGTATGCTGATTAACATAATTAAATAATTAAATAAATAAGCAAATAAATAAATAAACAAGCCACAGGGACCTCAATCTTCTGATGTCAAACACTTTCGTTTGTTGCTACCTATACTTTTAAAAAACCACAGATTGTCTGTTCTTTCTACATTGTTTTTAGTTGATTAAAAAGAGGACCACAGGGGAAGGAAGGGAAAACTGAATGGGAAGAAATCAGAAAGGGAGACAAACCATGAGAGACCCTGCACTCCAGGAACAAAATTGAGGGTTACAGAAGGGAGGGGGTTGGGGGGACGGGGTAACTGGGTGATGGGTATTAAGGAGGGCACGTGTGGTGATGAGCACTGGGCGTTATCTGCAGCTAATGAATCATTGAACACTACATCAAAAACTAATGATGTACTATATGCTGGCTAATTGAACATAATTTAAAAAAAGAGTTCATAAAAAATAAAACCTTTGTCTTCAATAAAATACTAAATTTAAGTTGGTATTCTTGTCAATGCGAGAATTGCCACTTACTCTATTAGGAGCACTGTATGTATTCATTTAATCCTCACAAACTATGAAAGGTGTCTCGTGACATCAAAGCCCAGACTCTACAGTTCTCATGTAACCAACTGAGCTATCTCAAAGTCACTAATATTTTCCCCAATTTTTCATTAGCTCACGGATACACATATTCATGTCACCAATTCAAATGAATGGAGGTCCCAGTGACTCAGTGCCAAATAATCAGATCTCACATTTATCGCACCCACCTGCATTAAAGTGCAGATGATGGTCTTAGAGATCATGTGGCCTGAATGTTGCACTCCGTTTATTCAGCATCTGGCAGAGAGGCACTTGCAAAGGTGGTCCAAATATCCACTTGAGGATATTGATTAGGTTGATATTGATTAAGTAGGTTGATACTTAATAATACTGGAATTACTTACTGAAAAGTAAACCCTATTGTGTGATTTCTTTAAATAAAGTAATAAAATAATAATGGGATGAAATTAAATACTGGAATGTAAAAATCAGTGAAAATTAATTCCGATTCACTCATTTTTATAAATGTTCTAGAAAAAATGTTTGAGTTAGCACAGTTCTTACAGACAGGTACTTTCTGTACCTTGGGAGGTATCTAGTCCAATCTCTTCATTTTACAGAGGAAGAAACTAAAGACAGAGAGATTAAGAAACATGGGGAGAGGCAGAGGATCAGCAGATCAGGATTGAAACCCAGGGTTCAATGTGGTTTCTCCAGTGGATTCAATCCCTGTTTAAATTAATTTTGCCTGTGAGTTATTACCATAGTACCCTTTCTAGATAACTTTAAATGTTAGAGCACCTTTATATAAACAACAATGAACGAGACAGTTCTTTCTTTCTTTTTTCCTTTGCCAATAGATTTTTTTTATTATGTTATGTTAATCCCCATACATTACATCATTAGTTTTTGATGTAGTGTTCCATGATTCATTGTTTGCGTATAACACCCAGTGCCCCATTCAGTACATGCCCTCTTTAATACCCATCACCGGGCTAACCCATCCCCTCGTCCCCCTCCCCTCTAGAACCCTCAGTTTGTTTCTCAGAGTCCATAGTCTCTCATGGTTCGTCTCCCCCTTCAATTTCCCCCCCCTTCATTTTTCCCTTTCTACTATCTTCTTCTTCTTCTTCTTTTTTTTTTTTTAACATATAATGTATTATTTGTTTCAGAGGTACAGGTCTGTGATTCAACAGTCTTACACAATTCACAGTGCTCACCATAGCACATACCCGCCCCAATGAGACAGCTATTTCTGATACATGGCATTCCTCTCCAAACAATAGCCAGAACTCACTCCTAACACATGTGAAGACTCAGCTTTTTGTTCTCCGAAGTTGAAATCTTACCAAAAAACAGAACTGCTTATTGTAAACTCTACCAAGGAGATGAAATTATCAAAAGGGTAAGTCTTTGTATTTCTTTAGTCTTAAATTTCTGGGATGAGCATCACCAAGTATGACTGAATTCATTTGAAAAAATAATAATGTGATAAAAAATCATTCATATGAAATTAATTTTATAATTATCTTATCAATGGTTACCTTTTAGTTTATTATTTTTTACATATAGTTATTAAAAGTATGTGAGTACTGTATTATTACTTCAGTCACTTTAGGATAAATTAAAGAAATCAACTAAAAAGTTCTGTCCTATCTCATTTATGTAATAGGTAATTTATAATGTGTCAAGAGGAAACACTTGTCTACTAGTCTGTGCCTTAGAAATGTCATTCTGGGATCAGTGTCATACTGACACTACATTTTACATTAGTAATTACTCTGTTAAATACTATTGAACACCGAATGATTTTTTTTCATAGATAATTTAAAGTTGGAGTCCCCTGAATAATAATCTCTATACTTACAGAGGGGTATACTAGAGAAAATGATGCTGAAAGTAGCATTTCACAAATGCTAAATATAGCTATTCCCCCAATTCAAATACTCTTGTATTTTAAAAAATTTATTGGTTAAGAAAATAAGCATTTATAAGTTTTCAGAACTATAAGCAATTCACTGACTATAGGAAGAATTAAAGTCGATTTTGTCAGAGATTGCTTAAATTACTGTGTTTGGCATAGCAAAGCAAAGATGATAGCTTCTTAAAGGACTTATCTATCCCCTGACATCCCGAGTCTGCCGTAGGTACTTCTAGGCTTGTTTTGAAGAACTGAATTAATAAATACTTCTTAAACCAGGGCCTAACACATAATCTGTGCCCAATAAATATAAGTTGTTATTAGTATTAGTAGTAGTAGTAGTACTCTATGTTGAATCAGAGTTGGCAAAAAGTAGGATTAGAAACAAAATTCAAATTTTATGTTAAATATATCATCACTTAAAGCAAATGAGCATCATCCACAAATTTCTTTCTCTAATGTGCTTTTGTAATGCATAGAGAGACCAAGGTTGTTTTTTTTTTTTTTTTTTTAGCATTACTACACAAAATATCAATTCCACATGCTGAACTTTTTAATTCTTGATTTTTCTGCATGTATTATCTGAAACAGTTATGCACCTACTTTCGAACCTACTTATAATAGAAGATGTACTCAGGTCCAACATTAGCCTTTGCTTTCACCTCTTCTGCATTGTGGTCCAATTCATTTTCCAGCCAACACCAAAAACAATCAAGGTAGCAAGCCAACTTTCACTTCTTACATCTTATTTCAGTTCTCTAAATCCTAATCCTGCACATATGTAGTTATAACTCTGATTCAGGAATTGAGGATTAAATAGCGTCCCAACATTTTGGGGTAGAAACAGAAGTGAGACAATGCAATCATCGTGAATGATGTAAGAAGTTGCTGCTGGGCAGACACTAAGCCCTGCAGACAAGGGTGAATCAGATTGCAGGTTTAAGACTAAGTTCACCAGAACAAGGAGCAGCTGACACCTAAATTAAGGGTTCTCTTTAGTGCTTTGGGGACCACCAGTGAGTGGTTGGGACCCAGGCAGAATGAAATAGAAAGACAGTGCTCAGTTCCAATCCAACTATTTTCTGAACAGGAGGCATGAGGCAAGTTTCTAGGTTCTCCCTGTTATTTCATCTATAAAGCGGAGACAATAGTATTCATTTAGGAGGTTGGTGTGAGCTTTAGAAACAAAGCCCAGTGTCTGGCACACAGCAGCTGATCAACAAATGACAGCTAAATGGATCCAGGTCATAAAAACAGTTTACACCTTTTTTTTAAAATTAATTAATTAATTTTTTTTGATGTAGTGTTCCATGATTCATTGTTTGCGTATAACACCCAGTGCTCCATTCAATGTGTGCCCTCCTTAATACCCATCACCAGGCTAACCCATTCCCCCGCCCCCCTCCCCTCTAGAACCCTCAGTTTGTTTCTCAGAGTCCATAGTCTCTCATGGTTCGTCTCCCCCTCCGATTTCCCCCCCTTCATTTCTCCCTTCCTACTATCTTCTTTTTTTTTTTTCTAACATATAATGTATTATTTGTTTCAGAGGTACAGGTCTGTGATTCAACAGTCTTACACAATTCACAGCGCTCACCATAGCACATACCCTCCCCAGTGTCTATCACCCAGCCACCCCATCCCTCCCACCCCCCACCACTCCAGCAATCCTCAGTTTGTTTCCTGAGATTAAGGATTCCTCATATCAGTGAGATCATATGATACATGTCTTTCTCTGATTGACTAATTTCGCTAAAAAAATATTTACACTGCTCACAATCCTCACATAGAATAAATCTTATTTTAAAAGGATAACTATTTATGGGTATGTATTTTTTATTTTAGTGTCATATTTCCCCAAAGGGAGTATAGATCACAATCCTTCACTCACACCATTATTTTCTAGATTCTTCCCCACTACATCCCAATAAATCCTGAAAGTCATGAATATCTTCCTTCCAAAAACCAAAGTTCTGTTTCACTTTATGAAGTCCCCCTTTAGGCTTTTTTCCCCCCCTAAAGCATGATATTTTTGACTTAAAGACAAGCAGGAAATACTACAAATCTCATTAGTGAAATCATTCTTGTCCAGATTTCAGTTAAAATTTGCTGACTAAAATTCCGGAGGCTTGGATAAGACTCAAAGACGTATCTGAGGGGCACTGGGCTGCGGAATCTCTTAGTGCTTGTCTATGCTCCTGAGGGACACAGTCATGGCACTGGCTGATGAGGAAAGCATTTTCTGCAGCCGGAGCTGGAGCCGCTGTTCCACCCGCATCACCCCTTTCCTCCAGGCAGCTGCCGAAGGCAGGTAAAAAGTAACCTGTGTTCTGTCCTGTGGCTTCCAGAAAGCCAGAAAACAAGTAAAACTCGGAAGAGTCAAGAGAATACAACCCATAAACAGATTCCCTTAAAAAAAAAAAGGCCAACTGAAGCCATTTCAACTTTTTTTTAAGTTTTTATTTTAATTCCATATATCGCCCTCTGCTCATCGCCACAAATGCCCTCCTTAACCCCCATCACCTATTTCCCCCAACCCCCCACTCTCCTCCCCCCTGGTGACCAGCAACACTGCTCTCTGTAGTTAAAGTCTGTTTCTTGGCTTGTCTCTCTCTCTCTCTTTTTTTCCTTTGCCTTTTGCTCGTTCGTTTTGTTTCTCAGATTCCACATATGAGTGAAATCCTATGATATTTGTCTTCCTCTCACTGACTTAGAGACCACCTCAACTTTGACAGACTTTTCTCTCACCCATGTCAGCATGCACAGAAAAGACCCGGGTTGTCCTAAGTCATCTTTTCTCTTCCTTGGTCATCTACGTGAATTTAGTTTTGTCTCTTTCCATGCTTTCTGTCCTTATTTTTAGACATGGTTATAAATATTAATCACTCTGATACTATGCCCCAATACTAGGAAGGCCCCCCCAGACCAACACAAAACAGAATAATTGAGCAGACTTGAGGCATAATTCCTTCTCTGAGTTTATGAATACACAGTGAGGTCAGATTGCTTTTCTCCTGTCAGTCTCAGTAACAATAATGGAAAGAAAATGGTCAACTGCTGCCTCTACTGAAAGGAGACCATTAATAAATGTTAAACTTGGCACCCAACTATTGCAAGAAAGATTTCATTACAGTGGAGCAGTTCGTGCTTTGGTCCTCAGGGAGGGAGGAAGAATAGAAAAATGCATTTCACAAGGTTGTGCTGAATAAATGTGTGTTACTTCTTTTCTCCAAAAAGACATTGCAATAAACATCTGCAAATTCAATTAAAAATAATAATAACTTACAGGAGAAACATGGACTGGTTAATAAAGAGTGTCACCCAAAAAGAGAAAAAGAGGCCAAGGCGGGGACACGCTCTATCCATCGTATTGGTTCACACACTCTCCCCTTTAACAGACGAAGTCACTGAGGCTCAGATGCTTCCCAGCATCAAAGAGCTGAGACCCAGGCAGTGTGGCTCCAGGGTTGACTCCCTTTACTCCTGCACTCTGCTGCCTGGGGTCTAGTCGATTGGAATGTGTAGGCAGCGCTGATGCTGCAGGTGCTAACATGGTGCTCCCTCAACCACTTGCCCCAGAAGCACCTGGAAGGTGGACAATATGCAGCTTCCTGGGCCCCATGTCACCTCTACTGATCCAGCATCTCTCGAGTTTGTGCCCATGCATCTTCATTTTAACAAAGCTCCCCAGTGATTAATAAGCACCTTCACATTGAAGAACCACGGCACTGTCTTCTTGCCATAAACTGACCACCTGTCCACACATGAGGCTGAATTTCTAAATAATTCTTTTCATTGGGCTCCACCATCATTTGTCAGTCAGCAAACATTCGTTGAGACTCTCTTCCTTGGAAGGTTCCACGTGAATCTCTTTGGGGGTTGGGGAGCATAAATACTCGTAAGACATTCCCGATTTTCAGCCATTTGCCCCTATAATCCATTTGCCACACAGCCTTCCATTTCCTTTGTTCATGGTACTTACTAAAATTTGTATTTATCTGTTTGTTTTCTTGTGTATGTCTGTTTTCCCCACTGGACTTTAAGCTCCTTATAGACAGGACAGGACGGCTTTGGTCACCATTGTGTCCCTAGGACCTAGCATAATACCTCACACACATATACCAGCCACCATGTTGAATGAATGAATGAATGAATGAATGAATGAACAAAAAATAACAAATGAATGCATTTCTAGTCTTGTAGGGGAAGTGGGACATAAATGTATGTAGCTATTATAAAAGTAAACAAATAAGAGAAATGCAGATAGAAATGGTTAAGATTGCACTTCAGCTGTATGAAATTTTGGGAATTCCAGGTACAAGGAATGGCATGGGAGAAAGTATTAGATAAAGATGAGAAAGCCAAAACTCTTCTGTTAAGACTGCAAAATGCATGAAGGGGAATAGCATTCAGGGAACAGACAACAGCCTCTGAATGCCAGGCAAAGGTGCTTTCTTTTTTTTTTTTTTTTAATTTTTTTAAGATTTTTTATTTATTTGCGAGAGAGAGAATGAGAGACAGAGAGCATGAGAGGGAGGAGGGTCAAAGGGAGAAGCAGACTCCCTGCCGAGCAGGGAGCCCGATGCGGGACTCGATCCCGGGACTCCAGGATCATGACCTGAGCCGAAGGCAGTCGCTTAACCAACTGAGCCACCCAGGCGCCCAAAGGTGTTTTCTTAATTATTTGATAGGAAATAAGCCACTAAGGGTTTTTGAACATGGTAAGTCATAGGATCAGAGCTCTATTAATCTGGTAGCAGTGTTAGGGTGAACTGGAGGAAGGGAATTCTGGAACAGGGGCCTGAGGATGCTTTTTCTCCCTGCTCATTTCTGCTCCTAATCTCTCTGTTTCCCAAGTGTGGATCTCAGAAGCTACAACAAATACTTTCATCTCAAGCAAACATTCGTTCTTTCCATCTTCACAAGCCTACGAGAACAAATGCTTAAAAAGCAAACACGTCATGGAAAGAATACCAATTAGTCCTGAAATCCTGTACAGCCTGCGAGTTTGAGAGACAGGAAGCCAAAAGGACGTGGTTTCTGAGCTGCTCTTGACTCGCCCCTGCTCGTGGTAAGAGCTTTTACTTCCTTTTCTCCTTTTTGACTTCTGTGATGCTGATGCAAAAACTTTGGCTTCAGGTTAGACCTGTAATACCTGACTGTCATGGTCCCCTTGCCGTGTCCAAGAACATCACCTACGGATTGTGACATTTTCTACTCTGAGCCCAGATCAAGTCTCAGAATCCTTCTGGAGACTGTTACAACTGATGGAAAAAGCTGGCTCCTGAGACAAAACCTATTTGCCATTGCAGGGGCACATTCCCACCCCACCCCCCCACCCTTTGTAACATCTGTTCAGGACTGACTCTATCCTGATGTCTATAATCACATGTGCCATCTGCTTCTAAGCTAAACTAAACAGAAATAAAATCATCACAATCTTACTTACAACTTTCTTTTCTTTTCCCGTCATTACCTGTCAGGTACGTTTGCTCGTGAATCTCTGTGATACTCAAGAGTTCAGCACTCTGTTGCTGGCAGCTTCTCCTCGCCTGGTGCCAAGTTAAAGCAGATTTGGAGTTTATCTGGTAGGAAATGCCAGTCAGCGGGTCTTTATTCCATAAGCTTTCACTGCCCTCGACTATAAAAGAAGTCAAATGCGATTGGCTACATTAGGCATAGAAGAGACTTTCAGGGAAAAATATTTCTTAAACGGTTCTAGTAGCATTTCTGCCTGAAGTGTATTTGTTTTCTTTTACTTATTTTTGAAGTGCCTATGAGATTTTCTTCGCTCTTCTGATGAAGAGGGGGAGTTTTCAAAAGATTGACTGGCATCTCATTCTTTTCACATGCCTAAGAAAGGAAAGAGAGGCATTGTCTCCCTACTTTTGTGTTGGGATGTTTGGGATCAATTGAGTTGGGAAGTGAGGCAAATGCAAATACTAAGAATAGGGATGTCAGCCCAAATTCCTTAATCTAGAAAAAAATATAGGGTAAAGAGAATGTATAAATCTTCTCTCAATAAGTGGATATTTTGCCTGCACATTCTAGTTGGGTCTTTTTAGACCAAAGGCATGGGCGTTAGAAGGCAAAGTCGTGGACTCTACCACCAACCAGGCTAACCTGGACCTACATCCAGGCACCATCACTCACTACTGCTTTGTCCTTAGTTCTTAAGCCTCATTTTCCCACCTCTAGGATGTATTAAATCTGTGTGGCCCTAGGCAATCGAAGAAGCTGATTGTTAGTTTTTCTTCCTTCAGAGTAAAAAATAATTCTTTGAGCTTATTTTTGCCTTTGCTATTTTATGATTCCCAATACACTCTATAAACTTAGTTATACCTTATGAAAGGCCAATAGTATTGACGGATAAATATTATTTATAGTGTGTTCCCTATAAGGTGTTTGGGAAATGAGTCAACAAATCAAGTATTTCTGTGTGCTTCGTGTTATAAAAATGTCCCTTTTCTCTTTTTAACAATATAAAATTCTACCTACAAATCCTAGGGAGCAATAATTTCTTCACTTACTTGTGAAGAAAAGAAGGAATCATGTAACTTCTCAGATTTTCTGATAAGTGTTCAACTTGCCAAGAAGTTGGCCAGTTTCCCGTAAGCATATAACCTATGGCATGAATCTTTGTATGTGACCTTTTTCATCACACACCACATACTATGATATGAAACTTGTGGTTCCATGGCACATCAAAGAGGAAGAAAAATAAATCAAAATTCCATTCAGGCAACAACATAGAAATTTCTAAGATGTTTTCATTATAAAATTGCTATATATTTACATAAAAATAAATTTGAAATGGTATAATGTTCAATTTAAATGATCGTGATCTGAGATCTTACTAGTTCCATATCCAAAAGGATTATTCTCCACCTTAAGTGAGATCACTCAAATGAGACTGATTTGAGGGCTATTTGAAGATGGACATGTTTTAAATACATATTTTTAGAAATTTGGAGGTCTAATATGGTAGAAAATGTGAGACACAGACACACACAAAAAAGGGGGGAGGGTTATTTTTTTGCCCAGGAATGGAGGAGAGGGATATACATGACCAAAGAAGGAAATGCTATTTGACTCTTCTCTTCATTTAAAGAAAGTATATTTTGCACTTTAGATCAAGGAATTAAAATCGATTTCTCAATGAATGTATAGGTTTGCTAACTCTACACCTCCCTGGATTGTTCAAATTCCTGCAGTAAACCAGCATAACTAATGTGGAAAGCTAAAGTTGCAAGCTATGGAGAATTGAGAGAAAGGGTCTTTTCCTTTTCCTGTTCTCATGATACTTCAAAATAAATGTCAAAACAGAAGGAAAACATTACAATAAACAATGCAAAGGACAATGAAGAGTGAAATTATTAAAATGTCACTAGGTCAATAACTGGTAGCTCATCTTCCTGTATTAAGCCTGCTAGTTTAAGGCTAATATAAAATAGTGTTCTTTTGAAAGGAACACAAAGCAAGGAAAATGAAGTAGATTGGGAAATCACAAAGCCCTTTAAGAAAGGCATGAAATGTATAAAATGTGCTTTAAATTTTTAATGCACGTTGAAATCAAACAACTTTTTATTCCCCCTAGTTATTTTACTTTTACATTTAACTATGTATATATATAGCTAAACTATATATATTTAAATTTATATACATATATATACACACTATATATAGTATATAGGCTTTGAAGACATAAATTAGAAGTAATAAGACTAAAAGTTTATTTAAGAGAATACTCAGGATCCCAAGGTTGTGAGATTTTTTTTGTGGGTTTTTTTGTGTGTGTGATTAGTGACTAGCCATTTGTCTTCCATTTAATGATTGATTAAATCACACATATATCCGACAGCTCCTTCATCAATACCACTTAAGTGCAAGATGCTATAGTTAGACCCACAAAATCCACACCCCCAAGAGACTCCATAATAACAGATTTAGAAAATACAATTCCTACTAAGTAAAGGTGAAAGACACTCCTCAATCATTGGAAAACAAGTATTGCTTCATCTTAAGGGAAAAAAATAGCTTGATTCTGACAAAAAGACATCTAATATAGTGGTCAGACCTCTATAAACCTTTCACAGGAAACAGACCTTTAAGAGTTGTTATAAGAGAGGCAAATATAATTATTTCACCCAAGAACAGGAGAGCAATGTCGCCATGAATGGGAAGCCTGTTTTTGTAGATATTCACCCAGAACATAGGAACAGCACACAGAACAGAATTACAATAATATATGGAGCTGAATAATCAAATTTATTTTAAGTGGGATTATAAATCAAAAGAGAGAAATAAGTATGATTCTTAGACTTTGGGATTTAACTCAAGACACTAAAATATTTTTGTGAATTATTTCACAATAATGCTTGGAATAATGTGATTGTGTGTGGATGTGTGGTCACCAAAATTCAGTTGTAAGCAACGCTATTGCAATTCAGGTGGCCTTGCAACCATCCCAGACTTCATCTGCACCCAGATTCTCCCCCCGCACCCACCCCTCTGTAGGTCAGCAAGAGAAAGAGTTCTGAGTAATAGCACAAAACGGGAGCTGCTGTGATCCATAGTCTGAAGGGCAAGTGGTCAGGGAGCAAGAAATTTAGGGGGTAGAAAGGGAAGGGCATAGCTGGCCACAGACTGAGAATGTGGGGTAACAGGGAAAGTGAAAGGACCCCTCCCTTGCCTCCTTCTTCAGTCCCAGCCTGCCTCCCAAGGCTGATGCCCTCCTCCACCCGCCCCTCCACCGCACCCAAACCTGCTATACTGTTTCTCTACAGATTTTTTTTTTTTTAAGATTTTATTTATTTGAGAGAGAGAATGAGGAAGTAAGAGCATGAGCAGGGGGAGAGGCAGAGGGCGCAGCAGGCTCACCGCTGAGCAGGGAGCCCAACGTTGGCTCGATCCCAGGACCCTGGGATCATGACCTGAGCCGAATGAAGGCAGATGCTTAACCGACTGAGCCACCCAGGTGTCCCTCTTTACAGATTCTTGAGTGTGGAAAGAACACAGGAGAATTCTTCTGTTCTGGCTGCTTCCCATCAGTATCATGAAAAGCCACTTATTTTGTTATTACTGCAATAATATGTTTTCATTTTAAAAATCCCTTCAAGCATAAAAATAATCCACTTCCATTTGATTCAGAGCTATGTTAAATTAAATGATACCATTCTTAAATTAAATTCACTATCATTACTATTCATTACTATCACTCTCAGAGAAAGGAACCCTTTTCATTACTTTAGCAAAAAGTCAGGAGCTCCTCCCATCTCTTTTGTTATATCAAACCACATGTCTATGGCATTGTTTAAGTTTTATTTTTGATCTATGGACCTATGGTTTAATAAAGGTAAATCCCCGGGGTGGGTATTCAGTATATATTGTATCATATGCAGTATAATTTGCCCTACAGTCTTAGCAGTAAAAGCTGAAGGTAAGAAACAGTTGGTGGAAATAAAGGGGTCATGTGATGCAGCCCAGGGCTGAGCGTCAGATCTGTGTCTGGTCTTCAGCCAATATGGATCACCTTCTCCGTTGCAAAGTGGGGACAATGACATCTGCACAGGGTTGTGGTGGAGTGTGACAAGTTAATAAATGGGAAATAACTTTGAGGGGGAAAACGGCCTCAATAAACACACGGTATTATCGCCACGGTGCTGTACTAAATGTAGCAAACCCTTCTCGGTGATCACACTACTTACATTTCAAGGGACAATATCCAAATAGCTTGTCCGCGTCATAGTCTGCTGTGGTCCCACACCAGAGCCATCCATCTGATCGCCCAGCACTTGTACAATCTGCATACCACTTGTTTTCAAACTTGAATGGAAAGGTGCACGTTGCCCCATTGGCATTGCCCAGCAGCGTGTACATGTCTAGAAGAGACATATTGATCGCACTTAGAATGTCAGTCAATCTTCTGGTCGGTGGCTTTCCATTAAATAAGAAGGATGCCGAAAGAATGGAGTCTTACTCTTCTGACCACATTTGAGGTCCCCACATGGGGAATTCTTTTCTCTTTCCTTTCTCTCTCTACCCCCGTCTTTTGCTGAGTATACACAGCAGTCTCTGTTAGGAACAACTCTAGTGCCACCTTATTTCTGCTCTTTTAGGACAGATTTTCCTCTTTCCTCGTGTGAGGGAAAAGTAGTCAGCTCTACTAACACCCGCCTTGACTTCTGCATTTCCCCCGAAACAGAGAAGAGGCAATTCTTCCTCTTGCTTGGAATTACAGAATGATTGAATCTCTAGAATGAAAAATAGCATTACCGCTGTGTGACTCAAACATGTAGCCAAAAGTTTAGTCCCCTCCTACCACTTCCTGTCAAGCCAGCCTCTACTGGAGTCCCTCCACAATGACAATGAGAAAGGGTCAGAATTTGGACATAACCCTCTAATCCACATCATGGAAAGGAAGCACTCAAAGCCATTGGATACCATTGACAATCAATATTTGTCTTTCTTAAAACTGAATTCAGACAGAGCAAAATGAGAAGCTCTGGGTTTACCTAGAAGAGAAAATTGAAACAAATAAAAAATCATCGTTTTTGGCTTAAGCCAAAGAATGAGAGAGGCTCATATCTCCGCTGACAACCACACCACTCCCTTAACCACATCTCCAAAATGTTTAGTGTCTCTGTCTCTGTAGGGACACCCCTGGGGAAACAATAACCTTCTATAGGGAAGTATTTTGCCTCTTACCACCAGCTGATATTCAGAATTTGTCCTAGATAAAAATACTCTTTCCTTAGTTAAATTTTGTAGATTCTGTGACTTTAAAAAGTCCCTAAAAGACATCTCAAAATCCAATTTAGACAATATAAAGTTTGTAAAACATATAGCACAATACCTAACATATATTAAAATCATAATGCACGTTAAGTTCCTTACCCTTTCCTTTCTCTTTCCTCACTGTACTTACCAATCCTCCTGACAAGCTAGGCTTATTTTCATTTACTGCAAAATTACTTTTTCATTGATTAGCTAGTTGTTAGGAACTTCAAAATGCAATTCTAGCTTTTGTCCCATTACATTACAGAACCGGTTTCCCAAATTATATATTGTATAAGGAACATGCTGGATTTAGATATAATTATGCCACTCTTAATCACTGGGGTTTCTGTTCCTTCATATGAAGAAAACCTATTAAGACCACCTCAGGGCTAGTTATACTGTTCATTAAATTAGCCAAGAAATTTTCAGTGCTGGATTTATAGTTCTCAGTCAGAAATGGCCTTTTTAGGAGTAACCCGATTTATTTAACAAAGCCCTGATGAGGCCAAAAGAACCAAGTTCCATTCCAGCGACTTTACTGACAAGTCATGTAACTGCAGTCAATTGTTCTTCCTCTGTGGTCCAAACTCTCAGACAACACTCAGATGCTTCTAAGTCTACAATTCTGATTCTAGTAGTATTCTAAAATAATCCCTGGCCCCGGCCAGTTGTCTTCCTCAAGTTTTCTTTAGAGAGACAGACTCTACCTAGACCCTCTCTACATTGTCTTCTGATCGAATGTGTAATCCAATGAGTAGATTCCAAGATCACTCTGAAGGGCTAGATCTTCAAGCAGGAAAATCTTAAGTACTGAGAGAGACTTGGGGAGCAGGCAAAATATGGTCAATGGACCAGCTTCATCCAACTACCCAAGTGCTCATAGAAATAACTCAATAGATTCTTAGAACTTTCCTCCCTTCCCCCATGTCCCAATTTAGCTTCTAGGTGGGAGGGGAACTTTGGTATCTTCACTTTTAACAAGCTTTCCTGGTGATCCTTAAACATATTACAGTTTGAGAACCGCTATCCTAAACCCTATGCATATTCTTCTCAAATAAGCAGGAAAACACAAAGGGTGGTGGGGATTAGGGATGGGGTCTATGTAACTTCAGTGATGTATTTTTAAATAAAATAAGAAGTCCAATGTCTTAGCACCAATCTTCCTTGTTTTGAATCCCTCAATTGGGACTACTGTCCCATCTGTGGAATTTGACTCAGTCAAGTTTGGTTCACTCTTTTCCTGCTAAAGTTTTCCATCAAGTTTCTCCTGAAAGGTTACTCTACTTAGGCTGCCTCGCCTATAACTTCTAAACCTTCATTATGTTCAATAAATGCCTCAAAATAGCCTCTTTCTGAACTCTTCATCTCACTCTTCAATGCCTACTATTCCTCCTCTTCATAATGAAGGAAAATGGAAAGCTGACAAATTATGGCCTCACAAAGATCTAAACTCCCAAGCTCTGATTAGCTATGACAACTAGGTTCAACCAAACTTTGTAGCCTCAGTAACATAGTAATTTTGGAAACAGGTAATCTCTTATCCCAAATGGCAGTCTCTTCCTCTGACCTTGAGGTTGTTCTCGATAACACTTCCAAATGACTAAGTGTCCAAACCTGGAATGTGGTTATAACATCATCTGACACAAGGAGGCTTTGTAAAAGGCTTCAAGTTCTGTTTTGTTTGTATTGTCTCTGCGCAGCCACCAGAGAATGAAATTTGGCCAAGATAAGAGAAAACTAAATACTCTGGTTTTATTTAACCTTCTAGAGCTTATGGAACCAACTTCATATGAAATTATTTTCTGCTCCACAGGTGCAACCACTTTCTAAAATAGCTGACTATGTTGCATGTTAATTTACAGGCCAATTTCTTAGCTTTTCTAATCTTCTGATTATTATAGTCTTTTTTTTTAAAGATTTTATTTATTTATTTATTTGACAGAGAGATAGAGAGAGAGCACAAGTAGGCAGAGAGAGAGGGAGAAGCAGACTCTCCACTGAGCAGGGAGCCCTAGGCGGGGCTCGATCCCAGGAACCTGGGATCATGACCTGAGCCAAAGGCAGCCGCTCAACCGACAGAGCCACCCAGGTGCCCCTCTTTTTTTTTATTTTTTTAAAGATTTTATTTATTTATTTGACAGAGAGACACAGCGAGAGAGGGAACACAAGCAGGGGGAGTGGGAGAGGGAGAAGCAGGCTTCCTGCCTAGCAGGGAGCCCGATGCGGGGCTAGATCCCAGGACCCTGGGATCATGATCCGAGCTGAAGGCAGACGCTTAATGACTAAGCCACCCAGGCGCTCCCTGATTATTATAGTCTTTTAATACCCATAAAGTGACAGAGAAACACTGAGAAACTTAAAAGATCATGGAATGCCAAGATTTCATTTTAGGCACTCTGAATTCATTTCTAAAAATTGTAATCCATAGGGGTGCCTGGGTGGCTCCGTCATTAAGCATCTGCCTTCGGCTCAGGTCATGGTCCCAGGGTCCTGGGATCGAGCCCCGCATCAGGCTCCCTGCTCTGCAAGAAGTCTGCTTCTCCCTCTCCCACTCCCCCTGCTTGTGTTCCTGCTTTCGCTATCTCTCTGTGTCAAAAAATAAATAAAATCTTTTTAAAAAATAAAAAAATAAAAATAAAAATTGTAATCCATAGTTTAAAAAAAACTAGCAAAAGTTACACACACACGCACACACACACACACACAAAGCCGTCATTCCATTAATTATAAACAGCTAAAATATCATTCAGGACTTTTTACTATACTTATTCACTGTCATTTTCTCATAGAACACAGAATAGTTTAAAACACAAACATAATCAATTAATAATTCTAGCACAGACTAAACAAGAATATGCTTATTTTCTTAAATTAGCTTCCAACTAAGAAGATGAGAAAAATTGGACAGAAAGTCAAGACATTCCATGCTTCTTACCTTCATAACCTCTAGAGCATAAATCATCTGTGGTTCCATAGATTTTCCATCTGCTCCATAAACCAGAACCCTTGTAGAGCATAATATTCTTTTCTTGTTTATTGCCATAGTTAAAAAATAAATCTTCTCCCTTGATCCCCAAAAGTGTGTCATTTTTGCACTCCCATTTCTGAAATTCGCTCTTTGGGTCACAGGCATATAGAGTGACAGCAACCCAATCCGTTTTTGATGGCACCCCCAAACATAATTTAAAAGCAACACTCATAATCCGGGATTCAGACACCCATCGGAATTTCTGCGCCTCATTGCCCTGGTTGCAAACTGCTGTTTGGACTGCACTGGGACTTAATGCTTCCACGCAGCGCTTGTGATCTTCATTATATATCAAAAATTGCTTAGTGTCTGTTTAAAAAAAAAAAGAAAGAAACAAGAAAAGATGCTTAAGTGGATACATGTGACAAAGAATATTTTAGGTCAAAATTCCCAATGTTTCCATTTCCATAAAATTTATGATCCCAGGAGAAGGTGTGAAGGGGACTCTGGGCCAGCTCAGCTCCCTCTGTGAGGGGCTGGGGATGGTGGAGGGGGCAGTCCTTGAGGCTGGAGAGAGAGACTGGGGGGAAGGCCTCTCCTGGGAGAGCACAGGGACCCAGCAACTGGCTGGAAATCCTCACAACATGCTAGTTCATTAGGGGGAGTATTACAAAAAGGCCTGCCTTAAATGCACACAAATTGTAGTGTAGCAAACATAAAAGGTAGAGAACAGAGAAAGAAATAATAACCATCTGAGAAAAGAAAATTTAGATATAAGGGATGCCTGGGTGGCTCAGAAGGTTAAATGTCTGCCTTCAGCTCAGGTCATGAGCCCAGGGTGCTGGGATTGAGCCCTGCATGGGGCTCCTTGCTCAGCGGGGAGTCAGCTTCTCTCTCTGCCTCTGCCGCTCCCCCTGCTTGTACTCTCACACTCTCTTGCTCTCTCTCTTTCTGGCAAATAAATAAATAAAATCTTAAAAAAAAAGAAAATTTATATATGAATACAATAAGCTGTAGAATTAAATATATGTGTACCCTGGAATAGAATTTTGAAGTCTGATTCATCCCTACTCTCTTTGAGATAGAGGAAGCTCATATGTAATTATTCTAATTATAACATTAGCGAGGTTTTTTGTAACTTAAAAGATAATTTCATTTTAGGAAATTTTACCCTTATGTCCAGCAAATCTTTGAACTAAATGCTTTCCAAATAGCCCTGCTAGAGAAGTGTTTTATTTTGTTTTGTTTTCCCTTGCAACAATAGATAACTTAGTAATGTAGCATCTAGAGCTAAGTTAGTATCTGTTATATAACTTTAACTTTCGGGGAGCCTGGGTGGCTCAGTCGTTAAGCATCTGCCTTTGGCTCAGGTCATGATCCTAGGGTCCTGGGATAGAGCCCCACATCGGGCTCCCTCCTCAGCGGGAAGCCTGCTTCTCCCTTTCCCACTCCCCTGCTTGTGTTCCCTCTCTCGCTGTGTCTTTCCCTGTCAAATAAATAAATAAAATCTTAAAAAAATAATTTTAACTTTCATTTTATTGGCATACTCAAGCTAGCTTTTGTATAACAAAAAGATACAAAAACGTACTTATAAGTGTAATAATTTGTCAAGTTTGCAGTAAAGGTTAAATAAATACAAGTTTTTATTTCATTTGAGGTAATACTTATGAGAATAACTACAAATAAAGTGTTGTTTTATTCTTATAATTTGGGGCTGGTAATTTAAATAAATATGCGTAGATGGCTTATGGTACACAGTGACTAGCTGGCAAAACTGTACTTCCTGTTGCCAAAAAAGAAGAAGAAGAAGAAGAAGAAGAAGAAGAAGAAGAAGAAGAAGAAGAAGAAGAAGAAGAAGAAGAAGAAAAAGAAAAAAAAAAGCATCTGAAAAGCATATTTTTCCCCTTAAAACTGAATTCATGTAAAGGTTTTTCCTTTTTATTTTTTTTAAGAATAGACAAATGGGGCGCCTGGGTGGCTCAGCTGGTTAAGCAACTGCCTTCGGCTCAGGTCATGATCCTGGAGTCCCGGGATCGAGTCCCGCATTGGGCTCCCTGCTTGGCGGGGAGTCTGCTTCTCCCTCTGACCCTCCCCCCTCTCATGCTCTCTCTATCTCATTCTCTCTCTCAAATAAATAAATAAAAAATCTTTAAAAAAAAAAGAATAGACAAATGAACGTACTTTTCATTTTTCGACACAAATATCAAACATTACCTCGGAAGATCTCCTAAATTCCTTCTACGTAAGTGTTCTTTCAAAATGAGCTGGTAGTACTGCAGATATTCGAGGGTCTGACTAAATTAGCTCATTATTTTTAATCAAATCATCCCAGTGAAATATAACAAAGTAATAAAAGTACTACTGACAGAGTCCTTCACCGTTTACTAAACATTTTCACAAACCATATTCTATTTACTGTCCTTAACATCCCTGTCAGGTTAGCACCATTGCATTCTGAGATCAGTTCTTGGGCCATCAATTTAGGGCTTACGATGAATCTTTGCCTTGAAAGATTATTTCCCCCTGCCCTGCTCCTGCATCTGCTCTTGTCCCACACTAGAGACCTCCTGTCTGGGTTCCTAATTTGGTGCTACTTTGAACCTTAGCCGGGCTTCCTTGGCTGGGTTTCTCATTTCTGTTGGTTTGATTTCTTGGAATTGGGACTCAATAGAGTCTCAATTCAGAACACCTGCTTCTGTTGGCTTCTCTGGAGTTGACATCTGTCAACTCAGCGCTCAATGCCCGGCCGGAGCTCCTCCCATCTAGCTGAACTCCTTCCCCGGCTTGATCTCATCTTGTTGTTGCTCATGCCATAGTGTGACAAGATGAGTAACTTTCTGCATTGGCAGTAAAATTAAAATATTAAAAGTATGCTGTTTTGTTCATAATAAAACACAGGAGATAGGAAAACAAAAAGTTAAAAAAAAAAACAACCAATTACTGTGATCATTTACCACACACAAATGTAAATCTAGGCTCTTCTAATCTAAAAGGGTAATGAAGTCTGAAAATTTTGTCATATAGATCTGTAAACTCAACTATACTACCCTTTACATTTAATTTCTTTGCTATTCTGCCTATTGTTTTCCTATCTAGACTTATCTTCCACTTTTCAGATAGTTTTGCTCAGTAACATCTCATCAACAGAAATATCTTCCACCTCATACTTCAGGATTATTGAATAGCCAACATTTATTCATCACCCAAATTTAGTCATATAACCCATTGGTCACCAGCCATTTAAGGTAAGGTGCTTGAGAGTTTTCATGCACAAATAGTGTTCTTCCTTCAGAGATTTTTTATCCTTATTTGACTTTTATTTCATGTACTTTATTTTCATCTGCAGTTCCATCTTAATTTTTCTCTAAATATCATGGCATTTAATGAGCAAACATCCAATCTTTGGTTTTTCATTAATGGCACCATCATCCACTCATATCCCTAAGCCAAAAACCTAGGACATCCTGGATACCCAGCTTTCCTTCACTTTCTAGAACAAAAGCAGAATCTACTGGCTCTACCCAGAAATATACTGTGACAATTTTATGTGTCAGCTTGGCTAGGACACAGTACCCAGATATTTGGTCAAACACCAGTCTGGGGCACCTGGGTGGCTCAGATGATTACCTTTGTGAGAGGTTTTCTAAGTTGGCTTTTCTAAGTTGGGAGGAGATTTTGTTTTTAACTGTATTTTCTTTTTTAAAAGATTTTATTTACTTATTTGACAGAGAGAGACACAGCGAGAGAGGCAACACAAGCAGGGGGAGTGGGAGCGGGAGAAGCAGGCTTCCCGCCAACCAAGGAGCCTGATGTGGGGCTTGATCCCAGGACCCTGGGATCATGACCTGAGCCGAAGGCAGACGCTTAACCAACTGAGCCACCCAGGCACCCCAACTATATTTTCCCAACAATTTAAATCCTTCAAGAGTGTACTACTGTACACAAGAGAAAAACATCAACCTCCACATCCTAGCTCCCTGGGGGGACATGATCCTGTCCCTGCTCTCACCCACCACCTTCCAGCCACAAGGCTTTTCTGTTCCTCAAACACTTCATTTCCACTTGAGAAACTTCATATTTCAAATTCTCTCTTCTTGGAATGCTCTTTAAGGTCCCAGCTCAAGTGTCAACTCCTTAGTGAGCAGACTATCCAAATTTTGCTCTTTTATTTTCTATATAATATTCATAACCATCTTAAAATATATTCTTTTTAAAAAATCATTTAGTTATGTTTTGTCCATGTCCTTCTACTGGAATGTAAATCCCACAAGTAGAAAGACTTAATCTTTCTGGTTCAGGACTGTATCCTCTCTTTTTGGAGCAAAATAGTCTGTCCACAAATATTAGTTGAATGAATGAAAGAACATTAATTTAATCTGAAGCATCTTGACTAGTAACCCAGATGCATTATTTTATTTAATAACAGATGAATGATGATGGGTGTATTTAATGTTGCCTCTTCCCTTAAAAGTTTATTTTTACCAAAGAACAATTTATAAATATTTATAAAGGAGTACTTGGAAATGAAAAGTTTCTATTTCAATTCAAACTTATCTATTCTGGTTTCCTTTATTTATCTTTGACATTAGGGAGCAGTGCAAGTTTGATATTGTCTTTGCTAGACAATATAAGGAAATGTAACATTATCACTTTATGATTTCAGTCATCCACTATTCCTCTCCCCCACTAATCAACACGGAGTTTTCCTTTTATCATGGTCTCTGTGCAGTTGTCTCTGATTTCTTCCTCTGAAACGGATTCAAGGCCTTGACCGAAAGGCAACTTGTGGTATTTTTGCCACTATTAACCACACCAACGTTTTCTATGTATAAACATTCTATTCTCTGTCTATACTAATTATGTTATTACAATAGAAACAGTACAAAGCTAACAAATGAGGACAATGAAATTGCTCTATTCATTTCTCTGCCATCTCAATTATGAGATTGAATGTGTGTTTTTCTTTCTGCTTTTTAAATACTTACACATCAGAAATTTATTTATAGAATTGAGGAGACCCTTCTTCCATCTTATCTCTATCTTCCTCATCTCGTATTAATTTTTCAAGAAATATGTGCAGGCGCTGTGTAGGTGATATTGCAAGGACAAACCAGAGACAACTTCTGTGCCCCACTGAGCTCCTACCACCTGTAGTTAATTCAAAGGCAGAAACCTCAAAGGTCAAAATACACTCAGGAAAGAAGCAGTAAGTTTCAATTCAATATCCCAAGTCAAAATAACTGAAGATTAGATATCCAATAACATAAGTTTGAATATTCTTTTTTTTTTTAATACGCTCCACACCTAGCAAGGAGCCCAATTCAGGGCCCAAACCCACGACCCTGAGATCAAGATTGGAGCTGAGATCA